AATCAACTTCATTTTCTATACATGAAGTTACATAGACTTAACAATATCATGAGGGCAGAGCCGGACCTGATGGGACGTCCAAGAGGCCTCCGCCTCAAGCCCAAAATTTTAGGGGGCCCATTTTTTAATTAATTATTTATTTATAACCCATTATATCCATGCGTTCAAAAGAAACGAATAAATACTTTAATGAAAAGAGAAGGAAGGAACATCAAAAAATTTATTTGTTATTTTATTGTTGATTTAAGTTAACAAATTTAATTCCGTAAACTTCTAATTTTTTATTTTATTTTTTTAAAAAAAGGATTGTTTGCTACGACTTAAGGCCTAGGGCCCAAATTTCGAAGTTCGCCTCAGGCCCCGCGAAGCACAGGTACGACCCTGCATGAGGGTAATATACTCAATGAGGAAATGAAACAATGGATTGACAAAGACACAGTAAATAAGTGAATATGAAATTCACCAGGATGATTTTGGGTCTATTAAATTTAACAATATTAGTAACGACTTCAAATTAATTTCGGTAGTCTAACAGACTAAAACTGATAATCCATAAACAACAATAAATATAATCATGACAACAACTATAACGTATCTTAATGTCTTCTTCAAATCACCTATCATGAAATAATAAATGAAAAACCAAATACAAAAGAATAACTAAATAATATGAGTATATTTAGGATTGGCAACGGTTCGGTTAAGAGTGGATTTGGCCAAAACTATCACTGAACCATTAATTTTTTTGCCATACCATAACCGCGCCATAATCACATAAGTCGGTTACGGTTCGGTTCAGAGCGGTTAATAATCATGAAAATAAATTATTTCATAGGTCCAGTTGTCAAATTGAAAAAAAACAATTTATGAAAAAAAAGTCACACATGATGGTTACCAATTATTGGAGCACTTCAAACAATTTGCGTTGTCGATCACTTACCAGATCAAAATTATACAAAGGGTTGATAGAGGATACATCTGTAAGAAGGAGACGATTTATGGTACCAAGGGTGATATCTATGTTACTGATGACAAAATCAAGAAAGGTAAAGACTATGTATACTTAATTTCGCCTAAAACTAATCAAATGATCATATTTATGGTAAGAAAATAAGTTTTTTGAAACTGAAATTGTTAATTGAGTTCGTTTCAAGAGCGAGTGAGTTGATAACCATCATGTGTGACTGCAAAGGAAGAAAAAAGGCCCCTATGGAGTTTGCAAAATTAGATATTTTTTTTATACATGTTTTGCATTGAATTACTATTTAGATGGAAAAAAATAAATTTAACGGGTAATCAGTTCAGTTCGGGGCAACAACATAAATACCATACCCTCATCGCTCCGAACCAGATCATTAAAATAAATATCATATCCGCTTCATTGCACCATCGGTTCGATTTTTTTCACCCTGTTCAGTTCGATTTACTGTAATTTTCGATTTTGGTGGTTTAAATTGTCATCCCTAAGTATATTATGTGAATTGACCAGCATGATGGTTTGTTCCAAGCTTTTCGACTGTTTTAAGGAAAATCATTAGCACTTTGGACATATTGGAGGACAATCTAGAAAAAAAACCCCCTATATTATGACAATGATAATCTTTTATGGGATTTTTTTTTTTAATTACAAAAACTTAATGTATAATAAGGGCAACTTGCATTATATACTCTACAAAACTTTTTTTAATTAGAATATTAAACAAGACAAATTTGAGGTCTACTTAGTGATGGACATCAATTCATAATTTGGGTGGCTTCCACGGACTTACTTTTTAATTGTTTATGCAAGTATAGTGACAGCAATTATGTTCTAAAAGCAATGTTTTTGATGCTTATGTACCATGGTGTTTACGCTCAAATATTAAAAATAAACATGTGGAATGAATAATTGGAGGGTTACTGGTTGAGAATAAGTTGAGAAAGAAGTCTTACTTAAAGTTTATATTCCATATCTTTTTAGACATTCCAAACATGAAATAATTAATATGCCTAATTTAAAATGATTTATCTTTACTTCAACAAACTCCTTCCAAATTAGAGAAATGAAATATTGATAAATTTTGGCTTAAGAACTTTGTCTATTTTGATTTGCCCATAATTTAAGCCCCTGTTTGATGGTCATTATTTTGAAAAATGATGTTTTCAAATAGTGATTTTCTGAAGAATGTGTGGTTAAAAAGTAGGAAAAGATTTTGGATTTATGTATAAAATATTTTATTACATGAATGTGTGTTTGAAAATGAATATGAAAATTAAAAAGTTTTGTTTTAAATGAAAACAAATAGGGACTAATTTTTTAATGCTATTTATATGAGGGATGATAGCTACTTAACAAAAGTCTCAAAGATAACAAAGAATTCTTTGCTCCATATCATGATGGGATTTGATTTATAACATATCATTAAGTGGAATGGTTTGGTAAAATTTAAGTCATATCAAAAAGGAAAAACTAAAGTTGGTGAATTGGTACTAATTTCATTCTTCTTTGTACGTTTTGTATGTTTCATATACCTGAGTATTCAATAATTTCAAAATAATGTGGGTCAAACAGGACCTTAAAGCTTATCGTCAAAATCTATTGTTGAACGGATTATTTCATCCCAAATTAGAGTTAGGGCCTGTTTTGGAGCGATTTTTTCACCCAAAAATTTGATTTTTTGACAGTTATTTCACTATTTCAGTCGTCATATTTGACTTCTTCTCTCACAAGTGGACCCCATTTTTCTCCTAACGGTCAAAAAATCAATTCTCAAAATCACTCCTAAACAGACTCTTAATTGTGTAGAATGAAAATTATAGGTAAAAATTGCCTAATAGAGTAAAACTTCTGCTATTTGAAGCTTGGAGTGTAAGTTAGCAGAGATAAATTGTGTAAATAAAGTCTTTTTACAATGTTTCTTAACAAGTTTTAAATTTGAATACAAGTCTTTTCTTTCTTCTCTTTGAAGATTGTAATAATTATCGTTATTCTTTTAATTTATTAATTATTTATTAGCTAATTTGTAACATAGAACGAGGTAATTGAAAGAGGTAAATTAATTTAAACTTTAGTTTGATGACTAGCCTTATGAGAGAAGATATATAAAATATATTAATTCAATAATTTTTTAGAAACCCAAATTTTAGAAATTGTTTCATTTATATAAACTTACGAAGAGTAACATAATTAAATTAGAAGTCCTAAAACTGTGGAATTACTAAATTTTTTGGAACATCAAAACTAAGAAATAACTTGATAACTTGAGTAACAATAATTCTTAAAACTAAAGGAATAATAATAATAATAATAATAATAATAATAATAATAATAATAATAATAATAATAATAGGAGGGAAAACAAAACTTGTTTTTATCAATATTTATTATACATTTTATAAATATTGTGTTTGTGATTGTTTCTTAAAATTTTAAAATAATAAATATTGTTTCTTAAATGTAAAACTAAGTCAATCTAATGAATTAAAGATGATTAAAATATTTCATACATTAGCTCTTTACTTATAGATAGTATTTTAGACTTGCTTTGCAATTAGCAATAATGCTACAAATTTTTAAGTTAAATCCCATAAAGTTTCTTTCCATCCTCATTCAACAAGGCATGACTATGAGACTCAAAATAATTTGTCAAATTAATTGGTTCATCTGTCAAAATCTGCATGAACTTGGACAATGAATTATACAATACTTGAATAATATTTTGCCATTCTTATTATAAAAACAATCAAAATATCTTCTTATTAAAATCATTTTGAATCATACCTTCTCCCAATATAATAATTTTGTACATAAATTCAAAATTTTTTTCTATACTTTTAATCGCACATTATCTAGAAATCACTTTTTACCAGTGTATTTGGCGGTCAATAGACACAAGGCAAGGCTAAGGCGCCAATGCGCACCTAGGCGTGGTTTATTAGTTTTTTTTTTTTTTAAGTTAAAACTTATAATTATTAAATAATTTTTTTATTGATTAAAATTTTAAAATAATATTAAAATAAGAAAACGCTTTTTACGCATTTGCCTTATCTAATCTCGCATTGCCCTTAACTTGACATCAATGCATCGCTACGTATTACGCATTTTAGAACACTGCTTTTTACAAAATCCATTCTAAAAAAATAAGGTTCAAACACGAGTTTTATCTTCTTACTATTTTTATTTTTATAAATGCGGCAGTTCTTATGAAATTGATATTTAATCCTTGGTTGAGACCCATTATTTAAAATTAGTTTTTCAAACTTATTTTCAATCACAAAGTTTTTCAATAAAAATATTTTGAATGTAAACAATCCATGAAAGTAAAATAATCCGAGAAATCTATGTCTCTAGTTCTGGGGATAGCACTCTAGAATACATTTTACGAGAATCAACACTTTGGAAGACTTACGGGGAAGTGACACAACAACAACATTTGTAATGGAAATGCCAAAATTTTTGCCTATTTCTAACAACATATTTTCCACCAAAAAAAAATAAAAAAAAATATCACTTTTGACATAATCTATTTTGAAAAAATCGGGGCTCAAATAAGGCTTAGTTTAGTATAGATTCATTTCAGCTGGATGGGAGACACAAAAACCTACTTGCTCGGAATAAAACTCCAACTTACCCTACAAAAAATATTCTAATTATTAAAAACTTATATTACTACATAACATTAGTGTAAATAATAGCGTCTCACAGCTTGACGAAAGTCAAATAATAGTAATAATATCATATTGATCTTAACACCGTCATAAGTGTTTTTTCTACTGTAGTTGTCACAACAATCTTTATCAAGACCTAGTGATCATCGAAGTTTATTTTCGGTGATGACAAAAAAAGAATATTTTGATAAAATTAAAGAAAATCAATTGTTATCATAAAAGTGTGTCCCACAAACAATACAAAATTTTTTTTAAAAAAAAGGAAAAAATAAATTACGCGTTTTGCCCATAAACCCAATTCTTATCCACTCCTACCAAAAATACAATACATACAGATAGATACAATTACGATGAGTATAAAATTTTTATATCACCCAAATACTTGAATCTTGATTTCTCCTAAACCTCTCCTCTTCGTAACTGAACTTCAAATTTTCTCAGAGATCGAATCATATTTTCAGGGAAAAAAAAAAAAAAAAACCTTTCGTTTTTCCCATATCAGTTTCATCTTAAAAGTAAAGCTTATGTGTAACGTACAAATCTAGATATATATATATATCTATCTGGGCAATCCTTTTTCGTACTTGAAATCGCATTTTGTAAATTTCTTATCATTATTTCTTTTTTGGGCTCTTAATATCTAGATAATTCTGTACAGTGTGAATAGTCTTATTTGACGAGGATTAGATAAGGAGATATAGATATATAGGTACACAAACGAAAGATTTATAGGTGAGAAGAGGTGAAAGATTCAGGTGGGATTTACTGAAAAATCAGTCGGTAAAATTTTAATTTCAAGTAAATCAAAGGTGCGATGAAGCTTGGATTGAAGTCAAGGTCCCGGAGGGTGGTTCAGGACAGCGCCGTGGCGGCGGCGGCGGCTGCTGCCGGAAAAATGAAAAATAGTATCAGTGATAGCAAGAATTTGGATGAAAAGTTAACAGTGGATTATTGTGGTTGGACAAGCTTGCCTTCAGAGCTAATGAGGGAAGTTTTGATGAAAATAGAGGAGTCTGAATCCAAATGGCCGGAGAGAAAACACGTGGTGGCTTGCGCCGGTGTGTGTAAAAGCTGGAGGGAGACCATAAAGGAAGTGGTCAAAACCCTGGAGGTCTCCCGGAAAATCACTTTCCCGATATCTGTGAAGCAGGTCGGTTATTTCGATTATGTTCTATAAGTTTTTATGATTGTTTTTGTTTTATTTTTTAGTACAGTATTTGATTTTGGTATTCTGGAGGTTTTGATTGTTTTGTTATGTATAAGGATTAATTGATCGTGGAATTTTGTTACAAATTGAAGGATTTGATATGCAATCCTTTTGATAGGACTAAATCTGGTTATAATTTATTTGAAAATGAGCTACAGTTATGGTTGCCTGATTTATTGTGCAAGAATCGATAGAGCACTGTGTTTTCGCGAGTTGAAGTTTAAAGCGTGTCAAAGTTGTCTGTTCATCGGATATGGCTAAACTGGTGTTTTGGATTCAGGAAGATGATGGTTGTATGGAATATGAATTTCTGAACTTGTGTATGGTCTTTTGTCGCTTTTCCAATTTCAGAACTTTACTTATTGTCCAAGAAATACAGAGAAAAAGGATTTGGGTTCGTTGTTTTAGTTCTGCATAGATTAGTTTAATTAAATGACAGAAGGGGATATTTATTTTGATTGATGGATTTATTTAAAGATTGATATGAGCATGCCTAGAAATTTCAAATTTTTGAAATTAGCTTCATGAAAATTTATGGAAGTGAAAGTTTCAACTTAGTCCTTACAGAGTTAGATGTATGGTCATTACTGATATGAATTATTTTCAGAAATGTTTGCAACTAAAGTTTTACTTGGCTTTGTACATAAAGTGTTCATTGGGCTTAAATTATCCGGAGTATTACTTTGGTTGATGGATTTATTGAAATAATCGTTTGTGTGCAAATGTTGTTTTCAAAGTAATTCAGCTATTCCTTGGAAACTCCTTTCCATGTCAATGAAATTTCATTAATGGAAAATTGATAACTGCTAATCAAGTGCTAGGATATTGGAATTCATTTTTAAGTCGAGAGTTTCTTGCCATTGCTTGTGTCTTCGTTTTAAAAATTGGGGGTTTCATGTGCAACCACTTGAATTTTTATGTAGTTCATTTTGAAAACCAGAATAACTGTACTGTGGTTCGGAAACTCTTTGCTTTTTACCAACATAGAGAATTGAACAATTTTCGAGAAGCAAATTATTCGTGTTCATAATAATTGCGATGCCTATGCAATAAGAAAAATTATAAATTATATTTGGAAGATTGTGTTTTACTTATTGTGATGAAGTGGAGTTGCTCTCAAAGTGAATTCATGGTATGTCATCAGTTTTTTGGATAACCTTTATCCCTCGAAAAAAAAATTTCTTCCCAATTGTTGTCTCTGAGAGTTTATCTGTTTTTCAAGTCATGAAACTTGCAATATATTTCCTATTTATAAATTTCAACATGCAAAAATTATTTTATTAGTTTTGCATTGTCTGTTAAGTGCTTTTCCCTTTCCTTGGTGTTTCGTATATTCTTAGAAACTCTTTTTTGCTTTGCAGCCCGGCCCAAGAGACTCCCTTATCCAGTGTTTTATTAAACGGAATAGTTCTACGCAAACATTCTATCTTTACCTCAGTTTATCTCAAGGTACGCAATTGTTCTCTCAACTTCATCTCTGACCAACATTTCAGAAGCTATATTTCGGCTTCCACTAACCCCCCCCCTGTTCCAAGTTTAGCTAGAATTGTTCTTCTAATACTTGTACTTGCTTTGCTATTCTATTCAACTCTTGGGGAGGGAGATTACGACTTATGAGATGTAAAACAAAAAACTATACAGATGGGCAGGGGTATACTAATTATAATGATTTCATCATTCACTTATTTAAACATAATTTCTGGTTTCTTTTAGAGTTGTTAACTTGATTGAGGGTGAGTAAATTGTTACATGATTAGACGTAAAACAAAAGACTATCTATCAGAACATTTGTACCAACTGCGCACCTTAAAAGTTCATCTTCCATTCCAAATGTTATTCTTATCTCCCCATCTTAGTACTGCCTGATTAGATAATCTTAAAAGTTTCGAGAAAGTAAGTTAAGACTTGTTTACTAGAAAAGTAAGTTTTGTAAGTAAAAGAATAACTTTTAAAATCATGATTGGCACATGCTCTAATCTCTATATATTATCTTCCACGCCATAATTCTTTGCTAGATATCTTCATTATATGCCTTGATGAGAGCAGTTGCAGACTTCTTCTTCTGGTTTTTTTTTTTTTTTGACATCTTTCTTGCTGTCTCTGGCAGCGCTTGCTGATGATGGCAAGTTTCTTCTAGCTGCTCGTAAGTACAGGCGGGCCACGTGCACTGACTACGTAATTTCCCTAAATGCTGAAGATATGTCCAAGGGAAGTGGCACTTACGTAGGAAAATTAAGGTCTGCCAACTTTTGGCATTTTCTATTATTGTACTTTATATTTTTAGGAGAGGCTTTATAATGCGATTTTTTTCTTTTTTCACAAGATCCAATTTTCTGGGAACTAAGTTCGTTGTGTATGATGCTCTGCCTCCACACATGGGAGCGAAATTGGCCAAAAATCGTTCCACTCGGATGTTTAGCACCAAACAAATTTTTCCTGGAGTTCCTGCTAGTAACTATCCAGTAGCTCACATTTCATATGAGTTGAATGTGATGGGAGCGAGGTATGAGGAAGATTTATGCTATTCTTGTTGTCTTGTTTCAGTTGAGTTGAGATGGTATAAACTGTAAAGTCTAAACATAAAAAAAATAATGATCTTAAAATTGAATATTGCATTCTTAAAAGGCATATTGAAGTGTGATTCACTATAAGCATTTTTTACAAAATTTCGTGCATGGAAGAGGTTATTGGCTTCTTTATCTTTTCAAGCATGTGAAATTGATTGGAAAAGTATGAAGTGATTGTGTGACATGCACAGAGGTCCAAGAAGAGTGCAATGTGTTCTGGATGCAATTCCAGCTTCTGCCGTTAAACCTGGAGGTGTGGCTCCTACACGGATGGATTCCCGCGTCAATGGTGTCGATTCCTTTCAACAGACCCCTGCTTCCTGGTCAACATCAAATGATTTGAATACAGCCTTATCTGAAACGTTGCATGGCCAAAGTGATGGATCACTTGTTCTGAGAAATAAGGCTCCAAGATGGCATGAGCAACTCCAGTGCTGGTGTTTGAATTTTCATGGTCGGGTAACTGTTGCTTCGGTGAAAAATTTTCAGTTGGTGGCTTCTCCAGATAGTGGCACGGTTGGAGCAGAACAGGGAAAGGTCATCCTTCAATTTGGGAAAGTCGGGAAAGATGTGTTTACAATGGACTACCTCTATCCAATATCAGCATTCCAGGCATTTGCCATTTCTCTTAGCAGCTTTGATACTAAAATTGCTTGTGAATGATAAGGATTGAATGGTACAAATCTAATCCTTCATTTATATATGTTCATATTTGTCTTAATCAAACTTGGCATGTTCTCCTACCTATATATGCATTTTGAATCTCTTGGCGTACATGGCATAACATTTATGATATATTAATTATTTAGGCTTTGTTTGTCTATCATTCAACCACATTATTTTTTCTAGAGTGTTTATTATGAACCACACATTTTTCATTAAAATAATATTACACGTAAATCAAAATTTTTTATTCTTTTTTAACCACATATTTCAATATCAATCACTATTCCTCAATACATTATTCACAAATAATGGGGCACAAACACCCCCTTATTTGATTTCACCAATTTCTTGTCAACTTTAAATATTGTCATGTCCAAGGACGGATTTTTTTTGTTTTTTGGGTGAGGCGTGGTGTAGGGGTACTATAACCCCCGCTCAAAAACAAAAGAAATTTCGCATACAAAATTTTTCCTGGATCACCGTTTTTTATGTGGAAATTTTTTCTTTTCATGTATTTCCCAGCCTATTTTTTTTTAACCCACCTCTGGCTCCGGCACTGATCGTGTGACATTGGACATTTGGATACTATCGAAGTTTGATATATATCTCTTAAGAAAAATGTGCCTGAATATTCAAGTAAAAGTTGAGGAAATAGATCTTTCATGCTAAGAGAAAGATTGACAAATCTGCTGCTTATGAAATTGCTCTTCTTATGTAACTTTGATACTTGTTTCACTTGTTAGTTTCACCTTTTCTGTGATATTTGGATAGTTGCTCTATGTTACGTATCTACTTGCTGAAATTCCCAAGTAGTTGAATAAATAGTACATATCCAAAAGTATAATTCTGTTTCACTTGTTTGCCAAATTTTTTTAAGGATTGTTGTGTTCCATGTTCTACATGCCGGAGTTTCTTTCGTGCTTCATTTCAGACATATGATGTGTTGCGCTTTGGACTACATGGATAAGTAACATTTTGGTAGATATTATCTCCGTCAATGCTGTTTTTGTAGGATATGCTTGTTTCTTAACATTTTGCCCCTGTTTGATGGCTGTTATAAGGAGAAGTGAGGGAAAATGATGTATTGAATAGTGATGTTTTGGAGAATGTGCAGTTAAAAAGTAGCGAAAAGTTTCGTGTTTACATACAAAATATTTTATTGTGTGAATTTGTAGTTGAAAATGAGTATAAGAAATAAAGAGTTTTAAAATAATGGTTGTTAATGGGGGCTTGATTCACTTTACATCGACTGTGACTAACTACATGTTTTCTGTTGGTACTCGAGCAGGGAAATTCATTCGATGTCATGCAATAACATTTCAAAGGAACTTGTTGCGTTGTGGAAGGTGGGAATGCAAATAAGACTAGAAGAAGCAAAGCCTATGTAGTCAAACTTTCTCATTTCAAAGCTTGTCTAAAGTTTAGTTGTTCGATGCACTATGCATTAATGGGACGTCGTAAGTGTTCAAGATTTTAGGGGTTTGTTCTATACATAGTTTTTCTATCGTGTACATGTACATAAAAGGATATGTTTTCTATACCCATCTTCTCTTA